ATATAACAATGGTTTGGGGCTCTAAATCTGTCTTGTCTCTCGACAACTGGCGTTCAAATTTTTGGATGATCATTAGAAAGACCCTTTTTAAATATTTGTAAAAATGGAAAAGTAAATTTTGAACTTTTAGCTGAAACCGTGTTTATGCCCACTTAAGGTACTTGTTTACTCACGATATTTTAACAACAACGGGTCGCCATACTTAAAAATGTCGTAAAATTAACAAAATGTGTAAATGAATAGTTTTGTATTTAAAACTATAGTTTAGAGTAAAACATTACATAAATAACCAACATTTATGTCTATGTTACTCTAATATTTACAATTCATCGAAAATATACTGTTTACGACATATGCCGTATCAGCGCGGTAAAATGTAAACAATCGTCTGTCAATGAGACTGCACTGACATGTATGACTATGGCACACTGGAAAAAGCAAGGCTTTTCCAAGTAAACGTCACAGTACAGGAAGAATTCTCAGATTCTGAAAAACCGTTGGGCAGAAAATAAGATTAATTTAGATCATGATTACGATGTGAGTCGAGCTGTGGGGGATGAGACCACAGGCGCTTGTTTCATACAGTGAGCTTAGTTTTTTTTACTATATAATAACAATGTTATTATATAGTAAAAAACTAAGCTCACTGTATGAAACAAGCGCCTGTGGATGAGACTGGAGAAGATCACCATGATGACAATTACGTACCAGAACCGGCAGGTAGAGACGTCTCCGTCTCCTTCAACGACCCAGAAAATTCCAGGTAAAGATGAAGACTATATAGAATCTCTTAATGATAATATTCTGTAGTTTTAAATATGCGTAAATCTTTCGTAACGAATTATCGTTGCCTACTGTACATGAAATAATAAACACTGATTTATAAAGAGATCGAGGAATATAACCAAGTCCATCAGCTGCTAATCCGACGTACAATGTCAGTAACATGTAACCTAATATGCTATCAATAGCTACGTAGGTATTTAAACCAACCCAAAGTAACAATTTTTACCTACTTTTGGTATTATCTATATTTTGTGGTGAAATGACTGAACGACGCAACATGTTTTATATATATTAATTAATACCATCATTTTTGATACAGTCACACTAATGATGAATAAGACAAAATGTTGACCAAAAATTGATTACTTTCTGAATCGGAAATTTTACATTAGTTTCTATGCAAAATTGATCATATACAAAGTAATCATTTTTGGTCAAATTTTTGTCTTGTCCATCATCAGTGTGTCTGTTAGTGTATCAGGAAATTCAGTGCTGACCATGTTGCGCCATTCATGCATTTGGCCACAAAATGCAAGTAAAACAGAAAGTAGGTAAAAATAGCTACTTTGTGTAGGTTTAAATATCTACGTAGCTATTAATAGCTACGTAGGTAGAAATAGTCTGTGGGCTGGACCTGTTCAATTTTATTGCATGATCAATGCACAATTGTTACAATGTATAAGTGATCATTTACATTGTTTTCTTTTTACGAGTATTTCAAAGTAAAGGGTAAGAGATCATTTGTAAAAGTCTAGGTTATGAGGTTTATGAACAAAATCGCTGTGGACCTTACAACAGATTGTTATTTCAAAGCAACATTTTTGTCAATTGAAGCTGTCAATTTGACCAGTTGCCTGTTCATAGGGAAAAAACTGCAATGAACTTTAAAGTTAATCCAAATAACACTTATTTTGCTTAATTAAGATATGACACTGCATGGAGAGAAGGGAGAAGGGTGGTGGAACTTGGGGTATTGGCAGATGGGCTCTCGGGTTGTGGAGTTTGTGGCATACCTCTCCATCTTTCACATACCTTGGGGATACTAACTTGTGGCTTGGGTTCATTCCTGAAAGTCCAGTGCCAGAATACAGCGTGCCATCATGTAAATAAAATAGCCACTGGAAAGCGACATAGAAAAATATGGGATGCAAATACCAAGCTTGCCACAGGTACATATTTTGTATTAATTTTTCAATTACAGAACATGTATATTATGAACCAGATTAATATCCTGTCATAAATTTGTTTTATTTTTCATAAATGCATCTGAATTATATATTTTTAGGAATGGTGCATACAGGTATGGGGCCATCTCAAGTGAATACCTTCCTAACATCATTGAATATCCCCCCTATCAGTTCCTGAACTCTGCAGAACAGACAAAATGAAACAGGAACAGTGATGGAGAAAATTGCAGAGGAAAGCACCAGACGCAGCCTTGACGATGAAATTCAGGCAACCATATAATTTTATTTTAAAAATGTGAAGAATTTTTGCTGGGAACACAAAAAACTTCACTTTATCCGTGAATTCACTATAAATATTCCTACTACCGTAATTTCGGGAATATAGGTCGATGGGGTATGTAGGTCGAAAGGCTCAATTTCAGCCTTAAATTTTGAAAAATCCTAAGATAGGTCGAACTTACTATATAGGACGAGGCTTTGTTTCCCGTTTTCTTAAGATTTTAACGCAGATACAACGTATCAGAACAGGTAAACCCCAAAAATTATCGGGGTTATTCCGTGACATGAACGTATCAAGAAAATAAACATGTATTTTAATGAGTACAGCAATTAAATACTGTTTTGTAAAAAAAAATGTAGTTTAAACTTCTTTGAATTGTGTAACTACTTATTTTTCTCCAACTTGCCTGTTCAATGCCTCCGTAGTTTCACACTGTTGTTAAATCAGAGGCATAAATAACACGTAAATACGTTATTATTTTACAGCTATAAATCGGGAGATACCCGAGACCAAAGAATAGTAATTCCGATTTCAGAAGAACTTGGACACATTCCTAATAAATTTTACTCAAACATTATTTACCGGTGGACGATAATTACTTCGATGTCCGCCATTTTTATTTTTCTTCTCCAGGGATTTGCTAAAACACGCAAATGACCATTGAATGTATATATCAAGCAACAGTAAAGAATTGAAATCATATTAACACTCTATAAGTTTAATTTATAAATTTTAATTGAGAGTACATTCACAATTTGACTTTCAACATGAATTTCACGACATTGTTTGTTCAATGATGTGTAACACTAATACCCTATAATGGCACGTGGGTTTCTTAATCATGCCCCGCAGGCATTTAAACCAACAGTGAACACAGGTGTTAAACACCTTTGCGTACACAGTGTACGGTAAATCCCTTTATCTGTCAGACAATTAAAATTCTGTTAGAAGCCAATCTGTGTATACCGGTAAATAATTAATTAATATTTTTTAAAAAAACAGTAATGACTTCTTTTTTTTAATTAAATTTAGGAATTGAATTGATTATTTCACTCGTTTTACATTTAAATAAACATAAGACAATAAAAAATATTTGATATACTATTTCAATTTATCGCTACTAATAAATGGTAAGAACACAACAGTTGTGATCGTGAACATTTTCCGTATTTTAAATTTGGATACGGTTGCGGTTTTACTTTTAGTACACGATCGCGACTTCCTAACTTCACAAGATGGATACCGCATGATGTTAATGGATAATACGTTGAGGAACATTATTTAATAGATATAGCAACGTTGTTTTCCTTTGTCATCAACAGATAATTAATGGAACTTATTTTGTAAGAAAGCTATAGAATAAATATTTTATTGTTTACTGGAGCATTAATTTTTTTGCGAAAATAATCAAAAAAGTTACGAAAGTGGCACAGATTTGCTTTGAAATTGGCGTAAATTTTACTGATTTGGGGGCATTTTTCGTAAACTTGAGCCTTAAATAGGTCGAATTCTGAATATTGGTCGACCCCAGCGGTTCTGAGAAAAAAGTATCGACCTATATTCCCGAATTTTGGGGTTTACCTGTTCTGATACGTTGTATCTGCGTTAAAATCTAAGAAAACGGGAAACAAAGCCTCGTCCTATATAGTAAGTTCGACCTATCTTAGGATTTTTCAAAATTTAAGGCTGAAATTGAGCCTTTCGACCTATATACCCCATCGACCTATATTCCCGAAATTACGGTAGTAGGAATATTTATAGTGAATTCACGGATAAAGTGAAGTTTTTTGTGTTCCCAGCAAAAATTCTTCACATTTTTAAAATAAAATTATATGTGGTTATAAGGAACTCTAATGTAACAAATTTACAGATATATTGAACTGAATTTATTTTCAGCAATTCATAATGAAAACATATTAATAGAATGTTTTGTAACAATTATTTCCTTACATATTCAGTAAAAATACCCAAAGGAAAATGTGTAAATTAATTGTCAATTTTTTTTTACATTCATGTAAGTTTTTTATACTGACATAACCAATAATGGATATATTCATAGGTCTCCAGGACTTTGCTATAACCAAGTTTTACTGTATTTCTATTCTGATACTCATATAGTATATATATATGCATCTTTTGCATTTTACATTTAAGAAGTAAATCATAATTTTCACATTTAAAAAGTATAGATTTAAAGGGATTAACCTCAATCAAGTTGGAAAAAAAAACTCGCTTCATGTTTCTGATAGCTTCCTTATGATTTTTAAGGTGTGAAGGTACAGACGAGCTAAGGTCAGTGTCGACGCAGGTTGGCAGAAACGAGGCAGTGGGCGATCCTTTGACAGCCTCTCTGGTATGTTGTGCATTTTTTTTGTGCATTTATGCCTAGATTGATAGATCAGGGGCGTATACTGTTTTTAGCTCACCTGAGCCAAAGGCTCAAGTGAGCTTTTCTTATCAAAATTTGTCCGTCGTCTGTCATTGTTGTTGTCGTCGTCGTTGTCGTAAACTTTTCACATTTTCATCTTCTTCACAAGAACCACCGGGCCAATTTTAACCAAACTTGCTACAAAGTATCCTGGGGTAAAGAGGATTCAACTTGTTCAAATGAAGGGCCACGCCCTTTTCCAAGGGGAGATAATCATGAAATAGAGAAAAAATAATGGCATTTTTAAAAAATCTTCTTCTCAAGAACCACTAGGCTAGGAAAAATGAAACTCATTTGGAATCATCCTTCGATAGTGTAGATTCAAATTTGTTTAAATCATGACCCCCAGGGGTAGGGTGGGGCCAAATGACCGATAAAAGTTTTACATAGGAATATAATGGGAAACCTTTTAAAATCTTCTTTTCAAGTACTTCAAAGCCATGCTTAGTTATATTTATAGGGAATCATCCTCAGGTAGTGTAGATTCTAGTTTGTTCAAATCATGACCCCCTGGGGGGTTAATATTCACGCCCCCTCCCCCCCCCCCCCCCCCACCCTAGTAAACTTTCAGTTCTGATCTGATATGTGCTTTTTCCAAGCCAATTGCTCAGGTGAGCGATGTGGCCCCTGGGCCTCTTGTCCTGTACGTCTGTTTTTGTCTGTCTGTTGTAAACTTAAACCTTCGCCATAACTTTCACATTTGGTATGCATACTCCACTTCATGTAATTACGCTCTTTCAAATGACACCTAGGTCATTGATGTGACCTTGACTGGGCAATAAGCTTTTTCAAACTTTTGCCATAACTTGAACCATAGGAGATCGAGATTTCATATTTGGTATGCATACCTCACTAATTAAGCTCTTTCAAATGACATCAAGGCCAATAACCTTGTTTCCTTGACTTATGACCTGTATGCTAAAAATAGTTTTTTGGAACTTTGTTGCCACTGGGCACATAGTGTTTCACAAACACAACTTTTTTCTTTTAATAGGAGTTGAATGTGTAACAAAGTAAAAATCCAAATGTTTTATAATATATTTTGAATAAATATATTTCTTAACATATATGAATATAACAGATTTATTCCTTTGATAACTGAATCTGCATAACTTTTTATTTGAAACATATTTTTAGGTCATTGCTCCATGATTGGATCCCAGACAGGCAAAGTCATTGACTATGAAATTAGAACAAAATGTTGCAAAATTTGTGAGAGTGCCACAAGAAATGGAAAAGACCCCAAAGATCATGACTGCCGAAAAAACTGGGAAGGTATGTTATTCTCTCAGAAAGAGAAATGACCCACTTATCCCTTTCCCTCTATTCTCACCTTAACTAAAAACTTGTTATGCAAATGCATGTACTTTAAACTGCTTGAAAGCACTTGAGAAAAACATTTAGCAAGCAAATTAATTTTGTGCGAGACATGACAATCAATACAACCCATGAGTATGGTGTCCAGATAGGCCCTTTAGATACAAAAGCTCACCAGTGATTTAAGAAAAGCAGGCTTTTGCACTTACAAACAAACAACAAATCAAATGAGCACAACTTTAAATAACACCAACAGGCAACATGCCATCACACTTAAATAACCTAAAAAAAATATTGTAAAACAACAGCATCCTAGAATATAGGATATATATTATAAGTAAAAGTAAATAAAAATGAAAAGTTATTGAGCAAAGTTAGGTTTTCACACTATATTTGTTAGAAAAAATAAAGGAAATTCATTTAATTAACCACCAGATATAACTTAAATTTTTAGATATGATATCTTAAGCTGTCAACAATCAGTCTCATACATTTTAATTTTGAAATGTGATCATTTTTATACATCTCAATTTAGCTTTAACATTTCTATATAGGAAGCTCTAAAGCAATGGAAAAGGATATGGTGGCTAAAATGGTCTCCAGAAAAGTGGAAGAAGGGGTGAACATAACGAATGTGGTTGCAGATGAGGACACCACTACCTTTTGTCATTTGAGAAATGTCCACTCAAACATTACAAAGATTAGTGATAAAAACCATATAAGGAAAATTTTCACTTCAAATTTGTATGGTTTGCAACCAAAACACAGATCACTGAGTACTAAAGTTATTCGGTACTTTGTAAAATGTTTTAACTACATGTTGTCACAAAACCAAGGAAATACAGAGGGGGTACAGAGAGGGTTGGAAGCATTAAGCAGGCACCCTTTTGGTGATCACAGCGCTTGCAATGAATCTTGGTGTTCCCATATCAGCAATCCGAAACAGAAATATTCTGCTTTGCCATATGGAAAACCACTCAAGGACAGCCATCTTCAAGAGTCCATTCAACTCATCTGCTCCAAGCTGCTGAAGGACACTTCCAAACTTTCAAGATTAGGAAGTACACAAGCAAATGAAGCGTTCAACAAAGCTGTCTCCCTAAAAGCTCCCAAGAATCATCACTTTGGTGGATCTGCAAGTCTCAGTTACAGAGTTGCAGCAAGTGTTGCAGAGAAAAATGCAGGGCAGAAATATCTGATTGAGGTAAGTCATAATTATAGTTATGCAGTTGTCTGATGATGACAAATAACAATTCATATTCTGTAGAAGTACTTTTTTCAGCGTGGTTTTAATGTACACTATGATTGCCGTCACAAATTTAAACAGAAATTTGTCCAAGCGTACTTAATATGAATATAAGAAATATAGTGAAAATCTAGAAAAACGACATAATTTTTTACCTGCGAAAATTGAGATTTCGCAGAATTATGACCCCATGGAAAAAATTATGTCTACAGTATTAAAGATTAAGGTCACAAGTGAATCAGTGATATACTAGTAAATTTATTGAGCTTTGGCATTATAACATGTTGATAATTTTAATAGGTGAACAGAGGAGTTGGTCTCTCCCCAGGAAGACACACAAGAAAATTCTGTTACTTGCGGGATTCTCAATCAAGAAAAAGAAAAGCCATTGCCAGAACAAAGACTGCAAAAAGGAAAAGAATGCAGTTGAAAGCCAAGAAGTAAGTTTTTAAATCAAAAGCTATTATAAGTTATGTATACAGGGAAATTTTGGCTCATTGAATTTTCACCCCTTTCGCCCTCTTCTTCATTGGCCGAATTTAAAACGGGGTGATTTCAAATTACACAGCATAATTTCTAAAACAGAACTATGACTGGTTGAATGGAAAATGGAGCAAAATTATTTGCAAGTGCAAAACAGCAAAAAATAACCCTGTATACAGAATTACGTACTCCACCTCCAACCTCTTTGTGGGGTTTGATTGTGTTGGACTCCGCTGTTTGTCATATACCTGGAGCTTTATCTTAATTTTGTAAGGTATTCATAACGATATTATTAAATGTTGACAGAACAAAATTGGTTGTGCATTTCATGCATACTCAAATATTTTAACTTTGCTCATTTTGTAAAGTTTTGAAAATTAATTTTGTTTTGAGGGTTCAAATACTAGTTGTTCAGTTATAGATTTTCAAAATTGTATTGTCTTTGCAGAGTCCAGACCACAGTATGTAAAGAGATAAGAGAGGGCCCAACATATCAGTCTGGGGTTGGAATCTCTGATTCCAATGTTGTAGTTGATGAAATTCCACCACCCTCATCTGAACCACAACAGCAGAGTTTGTCAACCAAAGACAAAAAATTTGTCTTTTTTGACCTGGAAACAACAGGACTTGGTATTGATGAATTTTATTTCTCTAAACTAAATTTGTACAATTGGTTTTATGGAAAACTTAAAAAAAAAGTTGTCTTATCTAATTTATAAAATATGAAAGAAAGCCAATGCTGATTTTGGTACAAAAAATTAAAAAGATAATGAATGCTATTGTAGATTTTGGTAGTTTTTTTTTTGTAATAAATGGTTTTTTTTTATTTCAGCGAGAACATCACACATTCTACAGGTGGCTGCCATTTGTGGGAAGGAGACATTTTCTTCCTATGTAATGCCTAAGAAGCCAATTACACCCTCTGCCTCCACAATTACCGGCCTAAAGCTGGATAATGGAACCCTCTATCACCATGAGAGAAGAGTCAATGCTGTTTCAATTTCCAATGCACTTGGCTCTTTTTTAAGCTTTATTGAGAAGCAAGGCAATGTTATTTTAGTTGGCCACAATATCAAAAGTTTTGATGTTCATGTTCTTTTTCAAGCTCTAGATTCTTGTTCGCTATTGGATCGAATGTCAAAATGTGTACAAGGTTTTTTAGATACTAGATTTCTATTCAAACTTGTCCATCCAAGTTTGTGTTCATATAGCCAGCAATATTTATCAGAAGTGCTACTAAAATGTACTTACAATGCACATGATGCTGTAGAGGATGTTTTAGCTTTGCAGAGGTTATTTGACACTGTTCATTTTTGTGATGGCGAACATTCATCTTGTACATTTACATTTCAGTATGCTTTGAGTGTCCATAACTACCAGAAGGTTGTAGATAGAAACATTCCATCCTTACAAGGTTTGATTGATAAAAATGTTTTGAGTGTCAGAATGGCAAAGAAGGTGGCAGGTAGTGGCCTAAACTATGAATGTCTCAGATTAGCACATTCTAGAAGTCCTGATGGCATTTATAATCTATTCACTGAGCTGTGTGACAACATATCTGTCAGAGTTACGAAGTGCAAGAAAATTATTGATAATGTTACCCAGTTTTTCATGTCTTCAAACGAAAGTTAAATGATCACTAGATGTATATTCTCTGGAGTTTTGCTTCTTGTACTTTGCTCACAAACATTGAGGTCATATTGTGCAAAATTCATGAAAGAAGTTGATCATTAGTTTTGTCTTGAAATGGATGATGTTGAGTCATATAAGAAATAGTACATTCTATCTTTTACTTTGTTCATGCATTAATTCATTTTTGATTTATTAATCATTACATTTATTGCATGTAAATTTAATTTATTTTAACTAAATGATTCAAAAATTAATTTTAAATTATATTGAGTGTACTGGTTTTTTCATACACGGCGTGTGTATTGCAGAATTTTGTATGATCTCTTGGTTTTGCTATGATTTAAATCGAGAATGTGTAGAATATGGGACAAGGGATTGTAATTAAGTTTGTTTCCCTTACTTTCCTAGAATAATGTCCATAAACTATTTTTGAAGTTCAAAAAATCACACCGAGTTGACATGAAAAGATTTTGTCAAGCAATTCAACTTCTTTTTATTACACATTATAAGGAGAAATAATGGAATATCACATGAAATTGAAAAATAACAGAGGAAATTCAGGTTAATTGTAATAAAATATCTCAAAATTTTTATCATTGACACCCACTTTGTGATTTATTTTTATTTATTTCAGGGTGATTTCTGTATTTATAAAACAATTAATAAGAGTTATCATCAGCCAAATTTTTAGAATATTTGAATGAAAAAAGGTTTATTTATTTGCATAAAATGTCATGAAACGGAGGAAATTCAGGTTATTTGTAACAAAATATCTCAGAATTTTGGTCATTTACACCCACTTTGTGATTTATTTTTATTTTTTAGAAGATGTTCTCTGTATGTATAAAACAACCAATAAGAGTTATCATCAGCCAAATTTTTAGAATATTTGAATGAAAAAAGGTTTATTTATATGCATAAAATGTCATGAAACAGAGGAAATTCAGGTTATTTGTAACAAAATATCTCAAAATTTTGATCATTGACACCCACTTTGTGATTAATTTTTATGTCTTAGAAAATGTTCTCTGTATGTATAAAACAACCAATCAGAGTTATCATCAGCCAAATTTTTAGAATATTTGAATGAAAAAAGGATTATTTTTATGCATAAAATGTCATGAAACGGAGGAAATTCAGGTTATTTGTAACAAAATATCTCAAAATTTTGATCATTGACACCCACTTTGTGATTAATTTTTATTTCTTATAAGATGTTCTCTGTTTGTATAAAACAACCAATAAGAGTTATCATCAGCCAAATTTTTAGAATATTTGAATGAAAAAAGGTTTATTTTCATGCATAAAATGTCATTGAACAGAGGAAATTCGGGTTACAGAAAATAAAAACGTAATTGATTTCTGTAATAGTTTTGTTGTTATTTTTAAGATAACACCTTGATTAATAAATTACTATGGTAGAATGTTTCAATTACATGCTCGCAAGAAAAATTTTAGTAAAAGATTGAAGTAACCTTAAAAAATCCATATTTACAATGGTGAATTCATGCTTTGATTTCATTGGCTAATAGTAAAAAAAGTAGGTCATTGACCTACATGTTTTAAAGTAGATTTTGTCAATACATACGTGTGTCTTGCTGATTTAATAGACGAGTTTTAATTATCATCAGTAGATTTTTTTTTTCCTTCTGAGTAAACAAGTACCTTAAGAATGCTTGATACCTTTTCAAAACATTATTCTAAATGTCGATTTGAAGGTCCTAGCATAATGTAAATGTATTATATTAGCGTGTTCAATATTTGGCGGAAATTTTTTGAAGAAGTTCGCCTAGATTTGATATAGCGCATTTCTTAATGTCCCTATCTATGTACATATGTTCAAAAAATATAGCGTTAAAAAATACACAGCCGAATGTACTACGTCTACAGTAATGTTTATTCGTATCATGTTTATGATCAGGAAAAAAATTGTTTCATATAAAATCAAAGATAAGTCTGCTAAAATCGGGTTCAAATTTTAAAAAAATACAATGTCAATTAGAAACTCAAACATCTTCTTTATTATTAATCTCAGAATACTTCTAAGTCGAATCAGAATGAGAAATATTCTTGTACTAAAAATTAACATAATCGAACCTTAGTACAACGATATATATAACCCTATGTTGCATTTCATATATAATGTCGAAGGTAAATGTCCTTTAAAATAATTATTATCCAAGCTTCAAATGTGGATGCTTTAAAGGGCAATTTATCAGTAAAGGGCACAGTGTAATGTAGAACAACCATATAATTCTATCATAGGTTTTTTCATGTGGAATAAAAATTCCATTTAGTTGAAATTATTTAGCTTCTAGAAATTGAAGCTTTTTTTTTCTCTAAATACTTTCCATGCAAGTTTAATGCCATTTCACCCATCATTCTTGAACTGATTTCAAGACACCTTTGATGACTGTGGGTGTGACGAGACAACTTATCGACGTCAGAAAACAAAGACACTGATCTAATATTCTATTTTAATTTGTTTTAACTCATGTTTTTCCTTATATGAAAATATTTTTAATATTTAAATATATATATATATATATATTTAAAAAATAATGTCTGCGTTTTCGTTAATGTTGCAGAATAACCTGGGAGATCGAGAAATGTTGTTGAAAAGATAAAAGCCGATTTCAAACAACATTTCGAGACCGAGGAGGTTAGTCTTTATCATTCACGACAACAAAAATTTTATTTCTATTCTACAAAGCAGCTCTAATATACGACTAGTCGTTTCTTTATATAGAAACGAATTAGATTACCATGCTGCGATAACGCTGTTACAATTACCACCAGAGTGTAAATTTGTTTATTTACCTGTGAATAGAATGCAGACGATTTGCGCTTTCGCCGCATTAGAATAAGCTTTTTATGAATTATAAATCTGTTTTTAGCTGATATAGATTAATCTTTTGGAATATACCACAAAATCAGTTTCCTATTTTATCACTTTAACACTAAAATGGTGATGTTTAATTATGACGTGGGGAGGTCCGTGAAACAGCCCTGCTTAGCTTTAGACAAAGGCGTCAAAACGGGGGGGGGGGGGGGGGGCTTCACCTTTTCTGGGGACTTAGCCCCCCCCTTTTTTGCAAATATATATATAATATAGCCATTGAAAATTAGGATTTTCCTTTTTTCGGTTTAACCCCCCCCCCCACTTCCAATTTGTTTCCGACGCCTTATTAGAAACCTACATTCATCAGCTACTTTCTACAATATATATGTACAGTGTTTAAATTGTAAAAGACGACACATAGATGTGGTCTGAATATGTATTTTATTCTTAAGGTCTTCAATCCCTAATAGGAAGAAATTCAATGAAATTGAAGACATAACAGATATGTAGGCATTGAATACTCAGTTTATTTAGACATACTTCCCATTTATTACTATAAGTATGTTTAGTGGGATGTGTCCTAATTCATGACCTTGAATTTTGGTAAGAGTTATCTCCCCTTTTTTAATTAATAAAAAAAATCAATTAAAAAAAATTTAGCTGGTAAAAAAATTGTTTTCAATTATCATTCTATTTATAATATTTCAATGCATTTTTCCACCACAGGATTTATTGATATTCAAATTATTTGAATTTTTATTTTGAAAAAACGCTTTTCCCCATAGACTTCAATGCAATCTTTGTTAATTAACTACTGCTTAATTAATGAACTTTTTGAAAATTTCTCGTGGGCAATTCTTTTACACTATAAAATGCTTTAATATAATTGTGTACAGATATATTGACGGACATTTAAGGGTACAGAATTTGGTACCATTAGGGATTGAAAACCTTAAGTCAAATGTACATTTCCACTGTGTAGGTTTGGATACGTGTTTCTGATCTGATAATTTTTTGATGACATTTGTGATTTATTCGAGAGTAATGTCCACGGCATTTCTTTGATCTCGGCAATAATCGTAGTAAAATGACTAACAAACTTTATATTCCTTTATCCAGCTCGCATTGCAGGAAAATAAAAAAAAGACTTGATAAGGAACATACTTCAGGTTATATTATTATACACAGCTCAACGCACTTTTTTAGCTCAAATGGTTTTTTGCACACGTTAAGATCGCATTGTTATTACACAAAATTGTGTAATGAGGCAACAAAATATATTTTAAAATAGATTCCTAACTTACTTGTAAGTTTATTTAATTAACTTTAAACATAATTTTCACATAATTTTAGTAGGATTTTGATATACACTTGGCTGATGGATTGTGATAATTCCCAAATGGTTTTTTTGTAGTTTCTCGTCAAATGTAGCTGTCTATGTACCCGTTCTTTTTAAAGCAGTTCTTTGCCTTGCATTGACTCAAAAACAGTGCAATTCATGTAACGTTTGTATTTATGTTAAATAACATGAGTTAAGATAGCGCAAGATAATAATAGTATTACTCATTTGTTCGGCTGCTTTTCATGTTAAAAAGCGGGCAGTTTTAGGATTACTTCCTAAATCTTGCATCATGACATATAGATCCGACCGCAAAATTCTTAAAGTTTCGGACCGTTAATGTAAAAGAATTATTTTTTCAATGGAAACATCTTGCCATTTTTAAAGATGAACAATACTTTTTTATCCTGTCTTTTGGTATGATTTCCATATGCAACAGTGTCATTTTTCGGCGCTACATTTCGACAAAACCACGACGGGTATGAAAATATGCAAAGTACTTCGAAAAATACTAATCTTTAAAATGACAATTTGAAAATGAATTTGTACCTTGAACATGATATACAACGTGTTAAATACATATTAGGGCTTTGCTTCGTATTATAGTTCGACAATGATCATTCTTATCGCAAAATGAAAGTGACCTTAATTTGTGCAAAAATTATGTGAGCTTAGAAACTATGTTGAGCTGTATATAAATTTTTAAATGTTTCCTTATAATTATATTATTTCGACTTGAGTTTCTTATATTTGGACGAGCGTGTGTGTCTGTGCTTGCGTGTCGAGATTGAGTAACTAATCAAGCTTCACAACAAACTTTTTCTAATTTCATAAAAAGCTCCCACTTGAAAGAAATAAATTAACTTTGAAAAAGGAAAAATATTCAATACATATCAAATATGAAAGAAAATTCCTGAAGCAATTAAAATTTACAGTCAACCCATGTTTTGTTTTAGTCGCTCATTAAATATGTATCTTTGGCCCTGCTGCTTTCAAATCACCTATTAACTGTTTTCTAGTTTCAGAAAAAAATCTTTTTTTCAGTTTTTCTGTTTAAATTACAGCTTATTTATGGATGCCTCATAAAATACTCTTGGAACATAACTGCCATGTTAATGATATTTGTTGATGTACGTGCTCTCTTTGCTCCCTAGAAAAGACATTTGATCACTTCTTCATTTCTATTATGAGGTAATAAACAAATTTAATGATACTCTAAATTATCACAAACGATGCACTTAAAAAATATGACGTGCCACAAATTAATATATAATAATGCATATTTTCTATAAAGTTTTTAGATGTTCTTTTTGGTGTGCTCATTACTTTTAAACTGATAATAAAATTATCCTTGACATTTCAACTCTTATTAAAAAAAACATTGTATGCAAGATTTCTTTCTCCTTGTTAATGCATTTTTTATTCCTGTAATTGAGGAGTAGAGGGTATATCGTTTTGTCTTATCCGTCCATGTATATATTTAGCTTTCTTTTTCTCTGTTCGTCCGCAAAAATATTTCACTAGTTTTCATTTACACCGACAAATAGGGAAAATCAATAGGAACTTTATTCAATTCATAAATCCTTGATTAAGACAGAAAAAATATTGACAAGCCTATTCTTTTTCAGACAGCGTTAAGTGGTGACAAGTGAGGATATCAAAACAAAGATTGTTAAAAATAATTGAACCCAATAGCATAAATAAAAATTATTTCAAATTTTTTGCATTCAAAAACAATATTTTATATCGTTGTGTGACAGGAAATATTCGTATTTACTTAACGAATTTTAAATACTAACAACGAATATTATCCTCCATGAAGCCTTTAATTTATCACTTGTTTGTTACGAGTGGTTATAAAGGGTGAAAGGGGGATATTAATTTCTGCTATCTGTCTTCCAACATCTAAAGCCACAGTTAGGAGAAGGGCTCTCTCCTACCCCTGGCTTCTTAATCACAATAAATAAATATGTACACCTGTATGTTGTAATGTCTTGTTCAGCTAATGACAATATTGGTTGCCATCGCAATTCAAATCAAAAACTGACATCATCAGTTGTCAAAAACTATTTTGTAAACTGTAATTGGGTATTGAAAGGTCGCGTCAAGGTTAATTTATTGACTATGTTTTCTCGCAGTGGTCAATACTTTAATGAGCTGCGAAATATTCTTCACTTCTTCCACCTCGGTCAACCAGGTGTCCTATTTTTATTATTCAAGAAAAACACATTACATGTACAGGACGACAATAATGCAGGTTTACATCATTAAGAGCTAGTATTTTGTTCTTTGTTTATATACAAATATGAACAACAGAAGCTTACGAGTGTTCTTTTTCTCTGTCCTTGAAATAATTAATGACAATTTTGAAACAAAAAAATGCATCAAAGTTGCAGGTCATATTGCTTTAATTTACATGAGAATCGTTTGGCCAGTTCCGAATTTTGATCAGTTCTGAATAATTAATAATTTAAGAACCGATTAATGATAAATTCAAAGTAGACATAGATTGACACCTAGTATAGGAAGAGACTTACTTATGAGTGTTTGAGTTTTTGAAGTTTTGACTTTTTGCAGTCAGTTTGTTTTCGGTATAGTACTTTAAACAGTTGAAACGCTTTCACAATGCAACATATCTGAATCACCGCGACGCATATGTCTGCAGAAAACCCTTTGCAAAGACGTCAATTTTTCGTATAATTCAACATTCAGGGTATTAAAAGTAAGTTTGATATGTATTTTAACAAACATCGAAAGCTTTTGGAAAATAAATGATTAAATCACTTGGAAGATAGAGAATTTTTTTCCTGTTGTCATTGCAGCCCGGAGGACCGCGCTGCTCTATACATATAAGTTAAAAGTGTTGGTGTATGGTGATTAGGGTGGGAGAAGTTATTCAGAATAAAAGGTTATCTAAAAATTGAAAAGATTGTTAATCAGAATGTTCTTTCCCTTTCTAAATTACGAGATACATAATATTTTTAATTCCATAAAGTGAATATGTTAAAATAAATATGTTTTACATGTTTAATATATAAAGTTGCTTATCATATACTATCGAAAAAACGACAGATCCCTTTTTTTAGAATATCGAATTTTACTTCTCGCATAAAAACGCACTCTGTATAGTTCATGTTTTATATTCTAAAATTGAAAATTAATACATTTTTGAATATAGCTGATACATGTGTCTAACTTCAATTTATATTTTATGCAGCCAACATTTACATGAGGAATTGATCAAGTTTAAAATGGTATCGTTTTTGTCTGATTTTTATCCGACTGTAAGTTTTCAAAATATTCGCGACTATCGTCGCCATCAATTAGACGCATGTCTTTTCACACATACCAAAGCGGTTTGATGATCAAGACTTTTTGCCATTGCTTACTGTATATATTTCTCAGGCGACAATTGATGGTTACATCAATGTTTACTTGTTTTATTTGTTCCGGATGTTACAAACACTATAATATATACATACGAACTATCGTCACTATTCATCAGGTTTCATTTTCCATTTTCTTCTTTGAAAGCAAACAGAATTATCTGATATACTGTAATTCATCGTAGAAAAAGGGTGCACCAGACCATTGTTTTGTCACCTGATTCTTTTACGGACGAACGTAATCGAAAAAGAGTGTTTTGTTTAGAAATTGTTAACGTGGTAACATTAAAATGTTATTTACACTGTCACCTGGATTCAGACCACAGTTTGTATTATCTTGTGTGACAAAACCGTTTGGGATGCCACAGGATGCATAGATTATAACTCTGTCTTTGACTTCTATTTTACTTTAGAACATTATTTAATAATTAACGAAGTTGTGAGTAAAGAGATAATTGCTTTAGGGTTTTGATCATTCAAAAAGCATCAGTCGAGAATAGTGTACATATAGGGCTGGATGTTAGAGGCAATATAATTCCTATCTGTGTGTGTTAAATCTTTTAAAATACATGTAGGTTATTGATTTAGGGTTTGACAAAAAATGTATGTATTTACTGGTTTGGAATTGTACGGCCTCTTGTGTATTTGATACCTACTCAGCGAGCGATCGTTACACACTGTCACTCGCTCTCATTGCGCCGACACCACGGTCGTAAACCGTCACAAATGAATAAAGAATGCTACTGCGAAAATTGAATAAAACATTAAACAATATCAATGGAAGATGGTGCCATAAAATGGTGAATTATTCGGAATCCGTGAATTGGTAGATCGATACTCCGGGACAATATTTTGATTTTAGGATACTGGTGGACGGCGGTCAGTTCGATAATTATGGATCGGGATCGGGATCCCTTATCTGAGGTTCTTAACACTATCCGAGTCAAAGAAACAATGACCAGTATGGACGACAGACCCAGATTTAAACGAGTGTTTGGTACAGACATCGATGTAAGTCAAATTTGATTTATACACGAATATTATAATATGTGAAATTATTTAATATCCATATTATGCCCTTTTGTACAAATACTGTACAATGATGTATCTAATCGCATCTTATCTACATTTACTTAGAATTCTGCATGTAATAATGGAGATGATTTTAAACAATTAAAAAGAGGCAGATTTACAAATTTTACTCATAAATGTAGATGATACAAAGAAGTCTTTGCTACCAAGACAAATACTTTTAAAAAAATAATAATCAATTTTAAATATTTCCAATATAACCAGGTTATTAAGTCTATACATATATGTAAGAACAAAGAAAACGCAGCTTAATGTTTGATTTTAATTACGTCTGAAATGCTTCTAATTATAAAGTGTTTGACATTTTTAATACTTTTAGAATATTAATTATATTAAAACAAATATTTAGCCAGATGGTTCTTTCTCGTAAGCAAAGAATTCATAGAATTATGTTTTCTGATTTTATTTTTTTTTTTTAAACCTACATCACAAATAATTCAATGGATATGTTTTATTAAAGCTTATTGTTTCAAACTGAGTGAGGATTGTAAAGAAAATTTATTTACAAGAATGTGATTAATTGCTAAAAAGCGTTGGAACATTAAATTCATATCGTCTGTCTTTTTGTCTATCACAAAAAACTTAAACCTGTGTCATAAATTTTGAATAAGAAAATGTTAACTACCAATTTAAAATTTTCTGAATGAGAGTAGATAGTGCCATTAAAACTCTTCTTAAATTACTTTTCCACTTTTTTTTAAACTCATGACCTTGAGTTTTGACTTACTTTTCAACAAAAACATTAACAACATTAATAACTTTAGAACGAGAGAAAATACAGCTATAATATCACTTGTGTGCATTAAGATATATGAAAAGTGCTTTTTGAATATTGTTTGGTTTTTTATCTCCTGCTCTTGAATTTGAAATATAATTTTGATGAAATGTGTAACTTTAGAATTAGGCCGACATAAGCTCTCAGATTTCTTGTGTGTAATACCTGTTAGTGTAATCAGATCTTTCAGGACGTACCGGTTTCTTTTTATTATTATTATTATTATTTTTTCTCCATATTTTTCATTTACATCATCTGTGACAGTATCATGACAAAATGTTATTTTCTTTTCACTTTGTCCTTCCAAATGAAGCTTTTCCTTTTCTCTAGCATGATCAGAAGGGCGAACACGATTAAGTGTTACATTGCTCTCGATCCAATATTAGCACAATTCTCTGAATTAATCTCTTAGTTTATTTTTCCTGTTAAGACAAGAAGGGAAAGATTCGTGGAATAATACTCTCTTGTTTTCAGAATGTAAAATTTGCATTTCCTTATAGTGAGCTTTTACAACACATAGATAAATCCAAGTTAATATATATTAAAATTGGCACCCCCTCTTCTACCCCCACTCCCTGAAATTATTACAAGAGGTAGGAGAAATAATATTTTAACAGATATTCATATAACATTTTCACACCAATTATCTTTTAAATAATTAAAATTTACATTCTTTATTAAAAAAAGGTCTTGATTAGTAATAAGGAAATTAGGTACTTGTTTCGGTAATGAATATTTAAACCCACAGTATTATACCCTTTGTTATACTAAAGGTTTTGTTTTACCGGAAACCTGCCTGTAGTTGCGAAAATTGGTTGGTCGAAGTACGTTCCTGATAGTTTTTAAATGAAATTGACAATAAAAAAATCGTATGAATAGAGATAACATCATTAATGAATAACTGAACTAAACCATAATTTAAGTAATACAAAAGGTATATCATTGAAAAGCTCTTCCCAATCCATAAAGAACAATTCCCTGCAATTTTGCAGAATTTCAATTCAAAACGTAAAACAAAAAAAAAATTATCTCACTACATTTCACGCATATATACTTCTTGCTTTAATTCCTATATAAAAACGAATAATTATAATTTCATGATTCGAATAGTAAGATTTTTGTTAACTGTAAAAAAAAAAATATAACTAGTTAAAGGCACTAAGAAAACTAATCAATTAAATGTATATACAATCGCTACCGTAAAAGTAGTTTAACTTGGTATTGGGTATATATTTACTAGATAAGATTAGTAAATCTAGCTAGAATTGGTTTGTGGTTACTTTTACTAGGTATCTAAGTATCTATACATGTATGACCTCCGTTCCACAACTCACTATCTTAACCAGTAAACGGAGAGTTGACTAATTATGACAAACGATTTAGGAGGCACACTAGTTAAATTCACTAGAGGTTTCAGCGTACAAACTAGTTCAAATCCCTCGACTATGTGTTCTAAAAACAAACAATATCGACGGAAATTGTATACAGTATTAAAACTTGGTTCACGTTCGGATCTAGTTCAACCTCAGTGATTATTGATAATGACTCAAATTAAAATTAAAAAAAAAAACACATGATGTTTAGAAATAAAAAATACGCTCCGTATCCATTGAATCGATCTCAAATGGTAATTAGATGAAAATTTTCCAATTGTGAACTAATTTGTTCAAATAAAGATACAATGTACATTTTTTTCGCTGAATTTACTGCTAATTATTTTTTATTCAGGAAATAAAACAAATATTTTTAAAAAATACCAAAAAACTGAGATAAATTTATAGGATAGTAGATTGAAAACTCGGCTGAATATAAAATAATCTATTTTTAATGGACGTGAACGTCAGAATTCATTAATGTTATCATTTGTTAACTAATAGAGAAATCAATACTGCAAGGATTGAAATGGAAAATTTACTTTAGTTCTACACAGTAGAAATGCACACCATCTGTCTTTTATGCCCATCACGGCAAACCCAGATGATCCTGTTTTCATATCTTATAAAAGATATATTTTTCGGTATTTAATTGTACATTGTCAATAGGACTAAGTAATTCTCTCTCTTTTATCAACACACCCATTCCTTTTCAGAATACCCCCTGTAAAAAAAAAACACCTTAAAGTGTAACTTTTAAACAAGAAACTACTAAGACATTCGAAATAAATCAGTTATCAATTAATTTTTCCTTCTCTTAAACCCCCGTTAGTCTTTTATGTTGTATTGACAATAATTTCCACATCTAATGGTTTTTTATAATTTCATTCATTTATTTCTTGTCACATCCAGAGAATCCACGTAATTGGCTTTAATTATTCAGTTTTGAATACCACAATTTATTTATTAAAAGTCACACTGGATGCGCAAGTGCTCATTGCTTGGCAGTTATAATACACTTGTCGGATTTCTGGGTATCCATTATGTATTGGCAACCACAGAATGTTAGACATAAAAGATGCATGCGAGATACTAGTTTTTTCTATGGATTGTTTAACTGAACATGAAGGTTTTGTCGCACTGATGAGATAAAATAAAATGATTAAGATTCCATTCCATTCTTACTTGAAAGTAAAATACTAGGAAGTCTGCACTATTCAGTTTTCTATTTACTTTTCCTATTTAAATGTTCAAAAACTAATGTGTCCGAGGCCTTTCCGAACGTCTTAACTGATTTCAAAAACCGATTCCGCCCGACCAGCTTACTTTGCTTAACCATGACCCACTCTACAATAAGTTTGTATAAACGACTGGTTGTTGAAGATTCGTGTTAGTGAATAAATCTTAGTTCTAAATTAAATGAATTTACCAAAAACAGAGAGCATGGTAGATATAAATGTAGCGCATATCTATAGGTGTAATGTATGCTTCGGGATTAGGTATTTTGTGTTTTCTTATCTTTCTAAATACCAAAAATGATGAAATTAGTAAGAAAATACCATACGTTTGTGTCCAAAAGACACAAGGTTTGAAAGTTGCGATCTCTAATAACATGGGTGCGTTTGTTTACCCTTGATTTAATTCAATATCGTCACTTTTCCTCCAGGGGTAGGGCGAGATTCAACTTCAAAACTGATTAAATCACGCACTTTTCAATCTTCAGTCTTTCTATTGCCATTGCCGTATAAAATGTGCAATAAGCCAGAAACATTCGCGATGCCTTGTCCTAAAAGTGAAAGCATGGGCAGTAAAGATTTCAAACACTTGAAAGTGATGAGAGATTCCATAATTGCAGGGAAGGACTATAGAGAACAAGTCTTGTTTTCCTGAAATTTTTGACGTCGAAAATGCCTAAAGGAACAACAATTTTAAAGTTTTCTTTTTTTTTTTAAATTGTGACTGAATTATTGATCGCTATTCGGATAAAACACTTATCATATCTGCTGAACATACAGTATATATTTCTTGCTAAAACAGAAATAAATTTTGAGCAACATTTCAAAAGTCTAGCAATACAATGTAGTTGCGCTTTATGTGTGTTTTGATTATATCATGAAATATTTCTAACACTATGACAGTATTTTCCTTAAATGTTCGTATCCTCAGTAGAAATGGATGTTATGTTTTTTACAGCCTGAATATTCAAGAGACAATGAATGGAAGGAACTTATGTCAAGGGCGAAAATAAAGCAACGATTAAAAGCGGCACGTGATCGCCGGAAATCAAAGCTACAGGACATGGAGAAAAAACTAGCGAGCGATGTAGCAGAAGTATCAATTCAACAGGAACCAGTTAAAAATAGTCCTAATAAGGCCAAACTGCTAGCGGAGTACAATTCAATGAAAGGAAAATCAGTAAACTTGAGACCAAGTCCAGAACACCGAGAAAACCGAATTGGTAGCAAAAATGATAATGAACCAGTACTGAAAGAACCAGAAAAAGAAAACAGAAATGATGAAAAAGGTGTATATAATGAGGTACGACCCTTTAGTACCGAAGAACAATCGAGATCTACAATTGTTGTGTCAGCTATCATAGAGAATAAAATGATAGATATGGACGAAAACGAACTTGATACAAATTACTGTGTTCCCAAAAAGGAGGCAGATTATGCATCGGAAGTGAACGAAGAAAACGATAGTAACAAAGAAATGGGCGACGTGCACGACCAATCCTCAGACGGAAGTGAGGAATTGGAGGAAAAGACAGAAGACGCAGTAGGAAATCTAGAGGAGGAAACAAAGGAAAAGACCGAACCGATGCCAAAACAAAGAAAAAAGAAAGTGAAGCAAAAGAAAAAGGTGAAAAGTAAACCGACAACGAAAGAAAAACATGTCAATGTGAAATTACCAAAACACAAAGATAAGAAGGATGATTTAAAGGGAATTAAAGAAGATGCCGAGGAGCATAATAACAATGAACAGACCACAGGTGACGAGAATAACACCAAGGTATTTATTACAGATGATCACGTATGTCTATTGTATGATTTATAATTTTAAAAAAATCACGGAGTAGTTACGTAATCTCTCCAATTATCCAAATGATGGACATTGTCCAAAGGATGGATAACATTCATAAATATGTGTGTGTTTCAATAGTGCGTTTTTGTCATCAACTCCTCAGGGTGTTTTTAAAGGGTCGGATCTTAAAAGATTTACACGGAATTTTTTTCATAAAGGTAGACTTATAATTGATGTTTTTACTGACCATATTTTTGATGTGCCTCGGATTTTCTGTTTACATGATCATGGCAAAAAGCACAAAGTAGGTTAACTTGTTTTCAAGTGATTCAAAATTACATTTGACACCTGATTCCTTCTCTTTCAGAGGGCCGATAATACTGAAACCATTTTATCTTAATGAAGTCTTTATTCTTTGCGCCAGATTGTTTAATGTCCATACACTTAAGAATATTACTATAGATACATGTACCAAACACGACACAGCTGCATTATATAAATTACTAAATAAGCAAAAAAAATAGATAATTAATCTAACTGTGAAATCTCTAATTTTCAAGGGGGTTTAATTTTAGTGGTTTTCAAGGTATGAATAGAATCACGGATTTACGTTCTACCACGAAATAATTTTTTTTACATATATAACTTCTGTACAATTTATAATCCTCGAAACCAAATCCCCATGAACCAATATATTTTTTTCACAAACCACGAAAACTTCACCCCTCGAAAATATTTTTTTTTATTTTATTTTATTTTACAATATTAAGGATTACCAAAACAAATTTGTAAAAATGCAAGTCTTCATGACACAAACTTTGACGTACATTATATTTTTTTCTAAATGAGATACTTCCATTTTATTTATAGGCTTCCAACAAGTGGAAAAAATCAGCAATGAAAGTGTTGCCATGGACGGATATGTGTTCTAAACTCCGACAACGTATTGAAGAGGAGAATGAAAAACAAATGGATTTTCTGGAGACAATAAGAATTCTGAGAGGCATATCAAGGAGCGAATTTTATAAAGATATCGAAAATGACTCTACTGATTCTGAGACAGAACAATTACCAAAAGAGGAACCGGAGCCAGTGCAAACTCCACCGCTTCCAGCGCCCCGAACTCCGACCCCTCCCATCGATGAGAGCGAAAATAAGAGTGAAGTGGTGGAAAATTCTAAGGAGGAAGAGGTGACAAAGGAGGATACGTTTACAACCGAGGTAAATCCAGAACTTCCTGTGGTAGTCATTGAGAAAAAAGAAGAATTGGAGCAAAAAACACCAAAGAAAGGTGTGGTTTCAAGGATAGACACTCGATGGCCTGCTGGCCACAAGTTCCATACAAAACCCGCAGAACAGAAATATTTGTCGTTTTACCTAAAACCAATTCATCACAAACTTTCAAAGAATAAGATTAATATACATACTTTACCTAGAACAGCCAAGGAGATAACAGAATATCTGCAGTGGAGAGAAAAACTTTTAGAAATTGCGTACCTGAATGAGTTCAGTCATCTTCGTAAGTTTAGCTTGCTAAGCTTTGCCATGCCTTTACCTAGCATTGAACAAAATTCATTTTCTCCTTACCCTGTGCAAAATAAAAAGAGATCCCTTTCGCGATCTACAAATAGGAGCTCAGTACACAACGAACAAAATACAACATTTCAACAGCAGTCGTACCTAGCTTTTAACAAAAGGAATGGAACAGATCACAAAAGTACTCCACGTCCCCAACACAAAAACAAAGAGAAAAAGAAGACTCGAAATAAAGACAATGAGAACCCAAACCCTTATCTTACTTCAAACACATTTAGGAAAAAGAAACATGATAAGTGTAAGAAGGAGAAAATATCACACAAAGTAGAGCAAGACATCGACTATGGTTCGCCTGTGGAAAATGAATTAGAAACATTGATGTCAAAAATGAATGAAGATTCAAAGCGAAGTAGAAACGATACTGGAGCTAAAAGTCAGAGTACAGACAGTGCAATCAACGAACCGAGTTATGATAGTGATGAAAATGAAAGTGACGTCACTGGGACTCCTACAAGGAACTCTTCAATTGGTAAGGATCAGGAAAAAGAGGATACGGGGGATTTCATTCCTAAAGAGCGGCAGTTAACAGGAGAAGGAAGAAGAACAAATCATAGTGAAAAGGCAAGCGTCTGATTAGTATTGATATCAAGTCACCTTACTGAATATAAATGTTATCTTTGCGACCATCAGGCTGTATAGAAAAAAGAAATAAATCAATGCATTTTGATTGCACATATACTTGCCGAAAGACATAATTTTTAGTAGTCTTTCTACTCTAATTTAAACCTCTGTATAGCTGCCTTTGATTTATCGTTGTAATTAATCAGGTCTCTTCTGCCAGAAGGAAGCTTTCAATATAATTACTGCAAAATAGCATCGTATTTCCGTAGCAACCAAATGCAACAATCTGAATAATCATTAGAAATGTACGTAGTCTGTAGAACGTGAAAACATGAGCACTGTTTAATATCGGTAGGCTCTAAGCAAAATACATGAGTATTGATTGTTTATATCTAGAATAAGGTTCACTCGTATAATACATCACCATATTCAGATGAAATGTCAAATTTGAACTTAATGTAATGCAAAGAAAACAAATTAGAACAGAAAAACCTAATGAAATATTTAGTTTATGAGGCACTAAGAGGAATTCGATTTACTGGTGGTTACTTTTATAACCTCCATCTTAAGGACTAAAATTTATAGACCTGTCATTTTAAATAAATGCTTAATGTGTATATCTTATATGTATTTTAGATTTTTTTTTTTTTTGGTGCTGCATGCATAATGACTTCATAATTGATTTTTTTTTTTCATTGCTTTGCAGATTAACTAGAATTATGCAGAAAAATGGGTCAATATAAAATCAGATCAAATTTAAGTCTACATATATTAATTTTTTTTTTTTCAAATTTCTCATTGAAAAACTCTTCCATTTACTGAGATTATATAACCAATGTAAAATACTTTTACTCTGTCCGAGATATAAAAAAACATATTTCTACCATGGTTTTCTAACTAAAACTGGTTGCATGTTTAAAATACGTGAATTTCTTTTCGATTTTCCTTGGTACACTTTATTTCATCTTATTTTACAAAGTGTATTTTTATCAGAATTATAATTTTCTTTTTGTAAAAAAAAAGCATGCATTTAAGCAATTTCGATTTACTAGATCTTGGTTCTAAGGACAGATTAAACAAACAAATAGAAAATAGATGCATGGTTTTGGCATTTATGAATTTGTTTATGACCTCTTTAATTGAGTTCTTCAGTTCATCCTAATTTCAAAAAAACACTGTTGCGATGTCAGTTTACCGATCAATTGAGAAGTCATTTTAATAAATCAGTTAAATAAAGTTTGTAATTAGTTTTTTAACCTGTGATTTTCTTATTTCATTATCGTGTATTTAATTTTTTTTTATATTTTACTTTATTGATTTTTATTTAAGCTAGTATATATTTTCATATTTTCAGAGAGAAAGATCAAGTGCTATGCATTCTCAGTCGAGAACCGGGGAATTTCGGTATCTACATCCTCGGAAATCGGCATATATATATTCATATTTTCGCATATAAGAGAGAAAGCTATCAAAACAATGGTATTATAAGTTCTGAAATATAAGCTAATTAAATACAACCGACTTATAGGCGGACCGACTTATAGGCGAGTATATACGGTATCTGTATTCAACGAAATAACTTCATTGAAGTCCAAATTTTTGGATCAAGTTTTTGAGAATATGTGAGATTCTTATATTGTTACATTTTTTAAAAAAGAGAGTACTCAGGTTTAGATTGTTTTCATTACTTTTCACGATTTTATGTTTTGTCTATGACGCAGGCGCGTAGCATCGTTTTTGGAAGTGGGGGGGCATTTTTTTTTATTGAAAAAGTTAACCTTCATCGAAAATCCTACTAAGGGGGGGGGGGGGGGGTAGTGGCTAACTTTTTTCAAGACCAACTATCTTTCAATTCAAACTTTTTGGGGTTAATTTTCTTATACTACCCTTTTCAACCATCCTTTAGTAAATAAAGGTATTTCATTGAAGTAATATAAAACGTGGTCTTAGCATATTTCATAGTAGATTTTGTTTGAATGACTATACATGTATTCATTAAAAGAACTTTCACAAAACAGTGGAACACGCGAAACAATAATGCCAGTGTATATTCCTACACATTTTTTTTTTATTCACATCACATAAGGCCAAACAAAAAAAATATCTTTGTTTACTGTTACATGCTGAAATAAAATAGGGTCGGTAGGTAGGATTTTTTTTTTATTTTATTGAATTTTTTTTTACACAAATTCACATGAATTGGTTTTACAAAACAGTTTTACATGGTATGGTGATAGCTTTATGTTTTTTGCTTTCTAGGGGTGTGCAATTAAAAAAAATCAAGTAATATAAAAGCAATAAAGTAGCCTGAAGTTAAACAAATGTTTAGTCCAAACATAGGGGCAAAAAATTTAAAAACAAATATTGTAAAAAGTTCATTGTTTTTGCCATCCCTTTTAAAGTTGAAGTTTAAAAATTTTAAGAAATTATCTATTCTTTTCTAAACATATTGTACTATAGTGTACAGGTGTAGCTTATCTAAAATGAAGGAAAATCATTTTATTTTCATTTCAAACCATTAAATACAATTAATATATATTAAAGTTTAACCACATAACACTTTGCAATTAGTTGATTGGGGGACCGTAAATAATGGAAAGAGATATCTGCATGTATTTACCATTAACAGAGGAATGGAGGAAATTCGGATTAGGAAAAAAACGATCGTTTTTTGAAGTAAATAAGCCAGGTAGTACTTCAAAATGGATAAGGTTAAAGTAATTTAAGAACAGCTGGAGCATGCTGCCTGGAAAATTGTTGGAAATTAAATAACAAAACAATAAGTGAAAATACCGTTTGTATTTCTCATGTATTATATGCATAATTTTAATTTTTATACCCCAAAAACGGTAGCACCGGGCATCCGATAGTTGCACACCCCTGCAACTGCCACACAATGGTAAGCAAATTGCAAGAACTCAAGAAATTGAATTTTTTCGATTTCAAGGATGTATAAAAGTTAAACTGACCGGCCAGTAACTTCCGGATTTTTACGACGAAAAAAAAAAGTTTGGGTCGGCGATGAAAATTAGGGTCGGTCGGGTAACCGTAAACAAACATAATTTTTTTGTTACGCCTAACCGGATTTTAATATTTTGTAATAAAAATCGAAATATGCTACAAGAAAGGTATTTTTAAGGGTATTGAATGAAAATGTTTCTTTTACTTATTGTTGAATGTAATAAAATATTAAAATTACATAAATATAAGTTTTTTCTGTTTGCTAGAAAATAAACACTTCTTAAAAAATATTTATAATTGAACTCACGGATTGTGGAGAGGGACGTACAATGCAGAAGGCCAACAAGCCGTGTTTTATTGAATGACTTGGACTGTTTTTCATTATTTACATTAAAATAAAAAAAACTGTTTATATGACTGTTAGCATGGCATCGTTTGATTCATCAAATAAAACTATTTAGCCATGCTGTCAAAAGAATTTTTTTTATAAACTCAACGTAATTTTGACTTAAATGTATACAGTCACTTATATACTGGAATGCTTTTACTATAACGAATTTAGCTCTGCAAAATATAATAACACAGTGCTACAGCAATGCAACTTTGAATAAAAGAGTTACATTTCTGCGGAGAAACAATAATTTATGAACATAATTATATTTCTTGTTAAAACGCGTCTGGGTTGGCATATGATAACTTTTTTATTACTTATCCCGGATGTTTCGTGACAGATTTTTCAAAGCATTGCTTTTATGTCTTGGAAATAGATAATTAGGGGTTATCTCCAATATAATACAATAGTTGTTTTCAAAATAAGAAAATTAGGGGATGGATGTCTTATGTATATATCAAATGATTTTAATGGAAAGTTGAAGCAGTCATAAACTTCTAGAGGGGAATCAAGCGACACTGAAAATTTGAAGGCATTATAACTTCTATGTACAAGTATCAAAAATGACCTTGTAACTTCAGTATTAAATTTGGGATCGACTGTAAAGAGAGTCATCCAGCATGAAAAAAAATCTTGGTAAAGGGTAGCTTAACCTTACCCACCCTAGCCATATACTAATTTAGTGTAGCGTGTTTGAGCATTTTTTTCTGTCTGACATTTGTTACAGGCAGTGGATTTTGATGTGGAAAAAAATCATCTCATAAATAATAATAAATTTACTTGGTAATTTTTTTGACAGACATCTTTAAAAAAAAGAAACTATTGTTGTCATCTGATTTCCAAGTAAATTAGAAGTACAATATTTCTATAAAAAAACATGCCAGAAGATATTTATCTTCCCTGCACATTTGTGATGAGTTGCTTCAATAAACTATATTTGATTTAAAGGATTGGTTTACAAGTGTGAATAATTTATGTCAAAGCGATAACTTGGAATATAAAAAAACAATGAAAAGCGAAATCGATTATACTTTTGACTCACGTTATCAACTGCAATAAATAAAATCTGATTAAATGAGGTTTTATTTTATTTATTATCATTTTTTTTTTTGGTATTTTTCTCTTCTATAATATAATTAGAAAAAAAGAAATTGTATGTATTTAACATTCAGGAAAAAATATTATTTTATATACTTGAACTACCTATTTGATTTTCAATTATGACGTAAACGTAGCACACAACTCGCTCCCAATCGACTTATGAACGATATAATATATATGTACATAGAAATATGATTTTAGTTTCACATTCGGTTTATTGCTGATATTGTGATATACTATTCATTTGAACCTTTCTTAATTTCCTTTGACTATTAGATGAAAATCTTTGTCAGTGCTTCTTTCTATGAAAATGGCCTAATTTTAATAAAACAATTATTATTGATTTATATGCCATGTAGACAGACGGTGACAGACTTTTAATAATTGAAAAGTCTTGATTGATATAAAGGACTGTAGTATATGATAATAGAAGATAAATTCACTGTACATAAATCATAAATATATTATTATAACAATAACTTGATCCGAAGGGTCCTATCACGTTTAGTTGACAAGCATGCATCATCAGACCAATTGAAAAGAAGAAATTTAATTCTTGCTTGGAGCTGCGAAACAGTAGCATAAGCACTTAATTCACAACCATATATTGTTAGCTTAGAATTGCATTTTAGTCTTTTTTTTTCTTTCTCAGCTGTTGATAACATACCGTGCTTTCGGAAATAATTATTTATAATCATTGCTTTTGCAATAAAGGC